TAGAATTACACTCAGTGTAGCAAACTCCGAGAAATTCGAAGTGGTATGTGCCAAGAAGTGGGGCACTAAATTCACGAAACAACAGTTTGCCAGGAAGGAAATACTTCTGATCAATTCATTCAGATCGAAAAAACTCCAGTACGAATTCCTCAACTTGTCAGTGAATCTTTAGCCGTTCATTCCGAACACTTGATTGCATATGAACGTGTCCAAATGTTGTATATCCATGGGACAGATGGGTCGCCGACAGGTTGTGTAGCCGAAAAATTTCAACTGGTTGTTACTTTGGAATTATCAACTCACAACATATCCATAAACTATAGCTACCTGTGGATACCCAAAAAGATAGCTGGGTACTTGTCAGTACACACAAGTGAGCTGATAAATTTGGAGCCGCGGGCTTAGGAGTAACGATGTGCTCATAGTGAATATGTCGTAGATTTAAAAAAAGTTTGACCTCATGAAACACTTCCTTTGTAAGATTCACAAGGTGAGCGGGGAGAAATTAAACGCGTCAAGATCATGTGGTTTCTAAGCCAATGAACGTTTATTCTGAAGAGATTGGACATCTGTTTTCATTGTGATTGATAAACTACAATTTACTGGTTAGGTTTAAGGTGCTGGGTGAGCAGTCGTAAATTTTCAGAATCTCTAAACTGCGAACAATCGAAATCCGACTAAGCGGCTCCGAACTCAGAATAGGTAGTGGTTAATACGTACTTCTGAATAGTTACGGAGAGTGCGTAAACTTTGCACGTGACTACTTTAATCCGATACTCTGCATTATAGTGTTCGGCCTGGACATTATTCATTGGTATTGTTGTGGCTACTACAGATTGGAATGTCCTCATGTGGACAAGGGAGATGAGTCATCTACCCAAAGTTGATCACAAGGTTTGGACAAATGTTTGAGGGAAAGCCACAGAAGTTTGATTTCTCTGTACTGAAGTCATGCGTCAATTATTGTGTTCATCCTCACAGAATCTCCGAAACTCACAAGAACTCTGACAAATTGTTAGTCCTTATGATCGCATTCTTTGTACCGAATCAAAACTTTAGTAAACCGAAGTTCGAGATCTTTTATTAGAATAAAAAATGACAACGATTGGACGGCTAGTGAGCCAGTATCAGAAGTTCACATCCATCATGATCATCGGTAGCGGGTTAACGGGTTAGTGCGGCTAAATTGGGCGCAAGCTGGATCTATCACTGTGAATTCGAATGGTTTCTTTTGGAAGAACAATTTTCCAGTGCCGAAGGTTTACAGAAAATGCAAGGGTATTCAGCGAGGTTCCACATTCCATAGGTTGCGAATCCATTAGTTGTGATTAATATTGCGAGTTTCACAGCATTGTAGACAGTACCAAGGTTATTTCAACTTAGCTATGTCAGTTCAGAATTCCGACAAAACCGTATGAGGCCTTCATACTGGATTTGGAACTTAATGAATGCAACTGGTTATATTCGCGGGATGTACCACTCCAGCCGTATTTGACGCTTGATATATATCCATCCTACAGAAAAAAGCTTGCGGTAAGGTCATTTCTTATCCCTCATTCACTTAACCGTATGAAGTTTTTACGGTAATTTTGATACCGAAATTTTACAATTCACGCTGCACTTCACAAGCGAATTGATGAATTTTCTCAAAGTCATCTGCAATATTGGGTTGTTCGTCCTTTGAACAAACGAAAATAGAAATTCCTGCTCGCTTGCTGGGAAACGCATTTTTCAGCTGAAAGCTTTTCTCAGAGATATTCTTCCAAACGAAGAACGGAAATTTCTTGAGTTTCACGAATATTGTGGAAATTCTATAACAGTTGAAACTCCATAACCCATAGCTCACTTCTGTTGAAAGCCTGGAAACAAACTTCAGTCTTAGAGGTGGGAATCGTCATCAATTAGCACATGGAGAGAAAGGGAGTTTTATTAAATAGCAACGTCCTTGTAGAACAGGTATCGAAATTTCAGTAAGTGTTAACGCAGATCGAATGACGCCCCAGTTTGCCTCACAAAAGATACTTTTCAATTGATTTGGTGGCAATCGTTTAAGGATAAACTTTCCGGTACAAGTGAGCGGTTCTGATAAAGTAAACCAGGCTTGATTCACCGCAATATTCGGTTGAACTTGGAGCGGTTTATCCCCCGTGACCAGTCATGTATCCCTCCGGGAATATCTCATCTAGCCAAATCCTTCACTTTCTATCATGTCCTAAGGAATAAGCAGTCATTTATCCAACGACAGTAGTATGCACGGTTAACACAATATCTATGCTTTAAGCATTGATCCCAGCTCTCGTGAAACACTTTCTTGGGCTAAAATTATAGTGTTGTGCAGTCTCACTCCTGCAAGATGTAAAAAATGCAACTGAACCTCCACATCTGCCATCCGTGCACACCGCCTGAGCTGGTGAACAGTTCATTCATTTTGTTTGAAGTCAACTTCGCAGGTGCGCTAAACACCTGAGAGGCTTGATTGCTTTTAGGATTGTTCCTTTTTAAACTTCTGAACTTGATATATCATCCCCAATCTAAGGATCACTTCTGAACAGGGTCCGAGTTGATAAATTTGTTTGCACTCACAGAGAAACTGGTGAAATCGATGTATCGGTTATGGTCGCTTGTCATTCTGTCAAGCAATTTTTGTTAGCCTACAATACGTTTGTTTACATATGCACTAGTGTGAAATAAATTATTACCATAAACCATCGTCATCACCTGATTACTTACTGCGAATAAGCTGGTTCGTAGAATAAGGGACCATGACAGTTTTTACTTTTTGGTGTTTGAGTAAAGTGGAAAATCCATGCACTTAGCATCGCCCGAATGCCGTGACCATATCTGGTGCAATTCAACGCTGAAAATAATTACGTCTAGAGCTAATCTGTTTTCGTGATTGATTTCGGTGGTCACGTGTGTCTATTTATGCACATCTACTCTTAATTCGAGCGGCACCGTCACCTACCCAGTCATTATTTGGAGCACCAATCTGACTGAGGGTTTTATTCTTTGGTCTGTCAGTACATGATATTTGTATTCTTCCGCTGCTTGATAGCCATAATGAGGACCAACGCTGGGATTATTCTACTCGTATCGATTTCGTTGCAATCACGTCGTTCAAAACCGCATTCTAGTCATGATCATCAAGAGCACAATTTCAGCGAGCAATAATGATGCACCACTGTTAGACGACCATATTTCATTTTGGAATCCCTATTGTGAAGAAAAAATGAAAGTGGATGGGGAAAGCATTTAGTGCCAAAAGCTTCGGTTAAGGACCCTAATCGTCTTTCTATCTATGTGTGGGTGTCCACATACAACCATTAACTGAATATATACAGATGAACTCATGTAAAATCGGCCGTCGCGTGGTGACTTCACCCGGGTCGCCTTACTTGCTGCATACAGCAGGGCAGGTAAGCAAAAACATACTACTACTGAAGCGGTGGAGCATTTCACGCACCTTGAAGTCATTTTTTGAACATTGTCTCGTATCGGAATCACCGACATCAGCGGACAGGAGCCATGGTAATGAGACAGTTGTTGTCGAAAGCCGGAAGACTTCCAATTCCGCTACCCGCAGAGGCCACGTCCTACTGCGTACGGCAAAACAGCCCACCTGATACAAGTATCCCTTGAGATTTAGGGATATGAAGCTTTTCCGCTATGTGTCTAAAATTGGCAAACGCGAACCTAGGGTATTAACTGCATCTGTGAATCTATACGACTTACAATTTAAGTAAAAAATCTCTACAACCTCGAGAGTATTCCTTTGGGATGTACGTGACGTGTTTGGCAACTGCATCTCCAAGACCATCACATTACATTTTGTAGGACGGTGTGAATTTGGTCAGTTCACCCAAAAACACCTGTGCTTTCTCCTCTTCGAAGCCGAGAACGACATTGCCCGCATTCTCAAAATCGACAAGGTTTTCATCCACAGCTATCTGAACACCAGAGTTAGGAAGAATTTCCAGCGTTCCTCTGATTATATCATCAATTACGAACCGAAGTGGGTACTCCTGATGGGCACCACTATGTGTGTGAAAGCTTCTGATGAGCTCTCCGTACACTCACACACCCATACGTCTGACAACACAAACAATATATTAGGCTGACAAACTTCTGGGTATTACTCCAGAAGCAAACGTGTCAAGAGGAACAGACGGACCGACTGAGTCTAATACGCTTTGGGAATTCTAGACTACCAAAATTATCAGCATGGCTGCATTCCAGCCGCACTACACGCTTAGTGAGTCTGATTATTTGCGACAGTCAAATGTTCGGAAAGACTGCGGCTGAACTTTAAAGTTTGTGTAGGTTTAGCCACCTATTAGCTTGTGCGTTTAGCCTACTTTGAGAAGCACTTTGAAATCGAAGACACAGAGGTCGAGAATAATTTCACGTCAAGGATAACTGTGGATGCCAGTCGATCAACTGAACTATCACTGGGCATTAATTAAGCCTTGAGAATTATGCCCAGTTGTTTGCAACCAACCGAATCACGACAAAAGCTAGGGCTGAAGGCATAACGTAAGTAAGTGAACCATCAAACAACAGATCGCCAGTCAGTCACTAAACGCGGTCTTACATATTCACCATGCTCTTTAACCAGAATTAAAAATATGGCCTGTTCCATGAAGCAATACACTTGTTCGTTCTATGAATATGGTTACGAATAAATGAGCCCAGGTCATATTTGAAATATGTGCAGAATTTATCTGAACACACCCCCACCGAATCACCGGTGTATCATATAGTCAGTTGACTATGTTCCAGAATGTAAAATCTCACTGTATCAATCATACTCAATCACCGCATATAAAACGGTGTGACATTAAGCTGAGATGGCATTTCATCACATGCTCTATTTCTACAGAGTTACGTAATCCTATGCCTGATAAGATACATGCAGTATGACTATGAATGCCCTTCCGAACACTTCAACCTGGTACCCATCCAAAAATACTGAGGCAAAACCAAAGGTGGCATAAATTCTTGTCCAAACGTTCATTATGTGGGTGTATGCATAGGCTCGTGGATGTGCATGGTGTAAGTATGTATAGTTATAGGCAATCTTGATAATCTGCAGCTGAACAAGGTGACCGGAAAGTCATGTGAATGCGGTAGGTTTCGCCATGGACAGTTTGGGATGCATGGGGTTTTGTCATAGGTATGCGGGAGTAGATACGGTCGGTGTCCCAGCGACCGCTGACAAAATAGTGATAGAAAATTCGAAACAAGATTTGGAGGAGGGGTGAAGTGTTTTTAGGGCTTGCTCGTTGTGCTTGCATCGCGATCAGCGCGTGTATCTCACCACTATTGGCCTGCTGCCCAAACAAGATGGAAACGTACATGAAAGCATTACTAAGACCACATAATTGGTAGTGCCATCGTGGTTTCCGGGTGATCTTGAGCATAAAACCTTCAGCCAAGAGGGTAGTTGATCTCAGCAAACCAGTAGCTGACAACCAAATTTCACCTTGTGGTGGTACATGTGTACAACACGTTCTAGTACAAAATATATGCAATGCATCACAGTATTGCGTGACTACAAAGTTCACTTAAACCAATCTACCAAATTCGTGGCTGTTGAACACGACAGAAGTGAATCATCACATTAGATCACGTACGACCGTGAGATGGAAAAACGAAAACGAGCCAAAAATGAAAGAGCAAAAGAAAGTAGTGTTGTTGAGCAGAATCTTCAGGATGCATCTAATCGAGTTGACATCCTCGTTGTTCCGACAGCGAGTCATGGATTATCAATTGATGTTATTACCGAGAGTCCGTGATGGTGGGAAAATTGAATCTTTGGACAAAACAGAAAGGAAATCTTGACCCCTCAAGGAGTTCTGTCAATCAAGCTATAGGTGGCATTGCGCAATTTAGTAGAACGTGAAAGTTGTACCTAAATGCATTGTCAAAAGAAGTGAAAAGATCTTTACAGCTGAAATGGGTTTCATGCGGTGACCGCAGTCAGGTCCGTATGTGCTTGGTTGTGAGTATTAGGACGGTGCCAAACGTGCGCACAGGACTGTACAATAGATATTCCATCGTGAGGTTTGCAGCTTGTTTTCAGGAACAATGGTACCCATTGGTCGGCGATCACGAAAGTTGGTATAACAGTCACCGAAATGGGATGAAATGGAGCAGGGTTAAATTGACCGCTCCCAACCCGATCGCTTGTAGGCCTCGAGGGTTCTCACGGGTGATTGAAAAATTATAGGGATGACTGGGCTGCCGTTTGACAAATGCGCTCCAACGCACGCATCTCTTCTTCAGCCAACTTTTGAGTGATTGTCCTACGAACTATAACGAATAAACGTAACTCAAGTTAGAATAATGTGCTCAGATTAGAACTGGATTGCATCCTGGACCAATGAATGCATGCACGTTTGTTACGCAATCCATTTAACATGACAATACAGCCTAAACAAACACGAATGCACACCTGAGCGGTCGACAAATGCAGCTGAGATGTACGAGCTATAGTATGCTTACTCATGCACCAGAAGTGTCTTCATACCAGATAGGCATATAATGTAGTATTTTCCAAACAATACCTACCGTAACACTAAAAATGAATGACCGGCAGAGTAGAAGTGAGGCGTCGGTGACAAAATTTATATAGACATTTATTTTGCATTTAGGTTCAAAAATATCAGTGGGGACCAGTTAAACTGGTATCTTCTGGGGGGGTAGGCTCATATTCTTGAAGAGATACAGGTAGACGTGAGAGCCATATAATCACATCAGAACAAACGGATTTACGGTAGCCATAAAATTACAACCTGCCCACTTTCTCCGAGCAAAAAGGTAGACTTGCTTGGAAAAACAGAGCAATCTCGGAAACAACGGCTAGCTTATGTTTTCTTTTCGGCTACGCAGTCTACGACACTAGAATAAAATAAAAACGATAAGTGAGTACAACATTGCACCTAAAGGAAACCAAACACAATATAAACGGAAGTTATCATCCAAAACTAGAACATCCTTCGGTGAATAATTTCGTGGATGAGAGTTCCAAGCCAAATCAAGAATCTGTCTTTTCATTCTGCGTTAACCGAAGCTCGCGGACTAGGTGATGTGTAAGTTAACTTTTGGACACTTGATTGATGCCCTCCGGATTCTGGATGAGCTTTATCCACCTACGTGTCTATGCTGGTAACGCACAGCACACAGGGAACCAGGGTATGTTTCACAATTCTGTTCTTGTATAACCTAATTACCAAACACGACAGCTTTACCCGTATTCAGATATAAGCGTTTTCTTTAACATAACAAAAGCATTGACAACAGAGATGCAATGGTCAAGCAAACATTAAGAAATATATGGAAATTAACTTACTCGAATGTCGTGCTCGAGCAGCAGGCCTGCGACGTTCACGAGGGGCTGCTCGAGACCCGACTGAAAGTGAGTCAGTGGAAGCTCGCCAGCATGCATCCAGAAGTGCATCCTGATTGGGATAAAGAGCTTCCATTGATGCATCGGAAGCTTCACCAAGAGGATTCGGACTTGGACCACGGTTGGCAGGACGACGGGCTGAGAGAACGGCACAGAATATTAGTTGTGTTGCTAACCCCATAAGAAGCCTGCTGATTAGGCGCGATATGGATACCAGCAACAGTGATGTGTGTTTGCACTGCAATATTTCCTATCCAAAGGGTATGTGACCGGCGTCAGGGATTTCAGATAAATTTAACTACGTGCATCAGAACAGAGGATATAATGGCGAATAAATCAGACACGTGACAAGTACAGACTGAGGTTCGTACACACCCACCTGGTGTTTGCCCTCGCCTTCTGTTGAGTGTTCCCATGAGGGAAGATGCGTCTGAATCTTGCTCACTTCGCGAAAGAATTCCTTTAAGGGCTTCGTCATCCTGTGCTTGAATCGTTCTGTTCGGCGTACCTCGTAAACCGGCCACCTAATTGGGGAATTTAGAAGAGATAAAATCGTGGGTTACTGACAGGATTTCATTGCTGGCTCAAGCATTAACTTCGCGGAGAAGTCGGTTACTGCATTTTAGATGGCGTGCGGGTTCAGAATACACAAGTGCAAATACATTGGTTATACAGTGAGATGTGCAAAAATAATCAGTAAGCTGAGTATGAAAGTAGAACTACACATTTGCAGACGACTTTCCAAAAAATGTGCAACATGAACTGTAATGAGTAAGGCTACACCCTCAGCGTACTTTAGTTCATTGGTGTGTGAAAACAAACGATGAACCACCTGCCAACAAAGGCCTAGAATGAATTATTGCTCCGGGTTAGTCCTTTCAGTGCTCATCGATTCCAATGAATATTGGCCAAAAATACTCGGTCGCTGTGGCAACAAATCAGTAGTGTACGTGTGGTTTCTCGGAGAAAATGTCCTGAAACGTATACCCCACCCGATGCGGCCATTGCCTACGCGATGAAACCCACAGGCCTTTGGATAGCTTCACTGACAGCTCCCAATCAGATTTACTTGGCACCCACGTGTTAATCCACTGATGTGGGTTGTAAGTGACGACGTAGGCACCGAAGTGCTGAACGAAGGAGTGACGTTAACCGCCAAAAGAGTGCACACATGATCAGTTATTAATCAATGAATTAAGATAAAAAAGATGCAGGTAAAACTGTAACGCACCATCCCACGAAGTTAAACATGCGAAACCATACTTTATGCGCTATTTCATGTATGAAAAAACAGCACCAACGAAGTTAAAAACGAAGTCTAATAGGTACTCTATCAGATAAGGATACGGCGCTGATAAGCGAAACAGTGCGTTTTGTATTAGCGTTTTGCGGGCAGGTGAGGGATGGGACGCTCACTTCGATATGAAAAGGTTTCTGGGCAGCCAGCAGTTTGACCTTTTCCAACTAGATAAATTAACAATTGAAGGTTAGGCAATTCAGCATTCATGATCACAAGTAGCTGTGAGTGAAACTGACTTCCGTATGAAAAGGCCTTGTGTCTTGATATTTGTTTCCCAAATAAATTCAATAAATCTGCCAACTGAGAGCGGTACGCAATCAAAAACAGTCTTGAACAATTGATTAACGGTTCAGAAGTCTCATTCTCACGTTTGACACCTTCCTTCGAATTACCTAACATCTAGAGGCACCGCGCCGATCATGGTCGGCTCCCGTAGGTTGGACTTGCGAACATTATCGGAGGCGCAGAGTGAAGGTCCAGCTAAGTGACGTAAAATAACGGAGTGAACAACCGTACGCTGATTTCAAATGAGTGATAGTGAAAAACTGCATTCTGGATAATCACAGTGCCCCACCAGTCGGAGACTCTCCTCACGCATGTCCAGGTGCGACGACTCTATGGAGGACGGTCAAGAACACGCCCCCCTGTTGTGAGGTTGTTTTGGCTATCGTATGAGGAATATTCACTGTGACATGATTCATTGATTGTCTTATATGAACCAATGGAAACGGTAGATATCATTGTTGCTTCATACTAGCGGGCTCTCACCGACAACTAGATTTTCAATCTTTGACATTTTAGCATAACTCGAACAATTATACCATTAGAATATGTGAGTTGGGACGAGAAAAGGAAATATGTACAAAGATAATTATCGATTTAAAGATGGTCTATTCTAATGAACGATTGAAATAAACTAGTATGTTTCTATTGCTGGTTCGAACAAACGGTATTAATTCTCAATCAGGCAGCCGATGGGGCCCAGGCCTTATCATGTGGGTTAATGCACGAATATATATATATATATATATATATATATATATATATATAGCCCCTGAATATTTATATATTTTTCTGAAACAGAGAGA